GGAGAGTTCCTCCTCTAGTCCAGTACCATGTTCCATTGGCGGCGCGCATCTGCTCGTGGGTCCTGGAATTTACCCCCAACCTGTTGAAGTGATTCGGTTCACCTGCTCTTTCTTAATGTGTGTTCTTTATTTTGTTTTTTCCCAATTTTCTCTCCTTTTTATTGTTTCTGATTTTTCAGCATCTGCTTTATCTCAGGAACTCTCATGGGACACTGAACTGTCTCTGATGATGGGGTTGTCTGTGCATCTGCTCCAGGGAGAGCTGGTTATTGGTTTTATACATGCCAACATTGCTGTGCTGCTAATATTTTTGGGCTACTAGATGGCGACTATGTACTATCTATTTGGTATACTTTAAAATGGTATTGAATGTTGTATCTATTAATGCTCATGGCCTTAACAATCTGTTCAAACGTGGCATGTTATGGAAGGAGGCAAAGAACCTCCGTGGGGACATTATCTGTGTGCAAGAAACCCAGTTCCCAGCTTTTAAAGCCCCCTGCTGTTCCCATAAATTGTTTCCCCACGTGTTTACAGCTAATGCCCCTCAGAAAAAATGTGGTGTCCTGATTGCCATAAAACAGTCCTTAGCGTTCTCTCTTCTTTCTCTGGAGAGAGACCGGAAGGCTAGGTTCTTAATAATGGTGTGAGAACTTAATAACATTCCTTATACGATTGTGAACCTATATGCCCCTAACACTAACCAAATTTTGTTTTTCAACTCACTGAGGAAAAAGGTTTCAAAAATTCAGAAAGGGTATTTACTTGGTGACTTTAATGCTATTGTCCATAAATCCTTGGACGTTTCAGGGTAGTTGCGGGGATACGGTGTTCGATGGCGTCGACCCTTCGGGAGTCCAATCTCTATGATTCTTGGAGGTGTCTCCATGATTCGGAGAAAGACTTAAAGTACTACTCGTCCCCACATAAATCCTACTCGAGAATCGATTACTTCCTGACCGATTTACAACTTCTTCAGAATGTGACCAAAGCAACCATCCATCCTATGATGTGGTCAGACCACGCGCCCATATCCCTCAGCATTAAAGAGAATTTAAAGTTTTCACCAGTATTCCTGTGGCGTAATTATGCTTCTATGTTCCTTAATCCGAGTAGTCGCTCACATATTTCTAAATCATTGCAGGAGTATTTTTACTATGAATGCATCCTCAGAAACGGATATATTCAACGTGTGGTGTGCACATAAGGCTGTTTGCCGAGATGTACTACTCCAGTTAGCTTCCAGGGAGAAAAAACGTAGATAAAGTGCTATGGCTGACATCCTATCTAAGATCGCTTGTTTGGAATCCCAACACAAACAGAGTTTGTCTGATAAGATATTACAGGATTTACAGTCTCATAGATTAGCTCTGAGGGAACTTCTCTTAGTCCAGCATGAAAAGTACCTTAGAAGGGCTAAAACTAATTACTACACCCAGGGTAATAAGGCCGGTAGATTACTGGCCTCCTACATCAAAACTAAACAGGTGAAAGCCAAAATCCTTTCACTTATAGATCCCATATCGCTGAAAAAGGTCTTCCATCCTAACAAAATTGCAGAGGCATTTCGGACCTACTACGCTCAATTGTATAATCTCCAAGATGATCCCAGCACTTATCAGCCTACCCCTGCTCTTATTGAGAATTTTTTTGAGGGTCTCTCTCTGCCTCAACTGGATTAGTCTCAGTTGGTCATTTTGAACCAACCTATATCAGATTATAAGGTGAGAGCTGCCATTAAAGCTTTACCAAAGGGGAAATCGCCTGGGGCGGACGGGTTCACGGCAGAATACTATAAGGAATTTCAAGACATTTTATTGCCCCACCTTAAAAGAGTGTGCCTGGAGGCAGCCGGTATGGTGGCCTTTCCCCCTGAGATGTTGAAAGCAATTATAGTTACTTTACCCAAACCAGGCAAATCCCCAGATTGTCCTCAAAACTTTCGCCCCATATCTTTACTTAATACGGATCTTAAACTCTATGCTAAAATCCTTGCCACTAGATTGTTAATGGTGACTCCTTCTCTTCTCCAATCAGATCAAGTAGGTTTCGTTAAAGGCAGGCAGGCAGCGGATGGCACACGTAGAGTGCTTAATCTGTTACTGCTTGCTGAACTCCGTAACTCGCAGACTGTATTTCTGGCTTTGGATGCAGAAAAGGCATTCGACAGGGTTCATTGGCAATACCTCGACGCTACTCTTGGCAACTTTGGTTTGCATGGATACATTAGATCAGCTATTACAGCACTATATACTGCGCCCACAGCGCAAGTTTTCACATCCAATGCTTTATCGGAACCTTTTTCAATTACAAATGGGACTAGAAAGGAATGTCCTCTTTCTCCTATCATTTTCTCATTAGTGATGGAACCCTTGGTGACCTCAATTAGACTGAATCCCTTGATTTCTGGTATAAAACGACTGCACATATGTCCCACAAGATCGGTCTATTTGCCGTTGATGTTATTCTTACCGTAACGGACCCTTTGACTTCCCTCACAGCAATTTCCTCTACCTTGGATACGTTTAGCATGGTCTTTTACTATAAACTCAATATTACTAAATCTTGTGCACTTCCTATAGGTATTTCAAAGAAATTTTTGCAGAGCCTTAAAGATAAGTTCCCGTACAGCTGGTCCACTAAAAGTCTAGACTGCTTGGGCATTCGTGTGTCCTTTATTTTTTCAGGACGATTCCGATCCTCATTCCCAATTCCTACTTTAATAAATTGGATATAACATTGAAAAAATATCTTTGGAAAGGGAGGAAACCTAGAATTCCGTTCTCCGCTCTCGTTAAACATAAATCTAAGGGGGGTGTAGGTCTCCCTGTAATATCCAACTATTACTACGCGGCATTAACTGGACCAACTCCAACATTGGTTCAACCACTCGGATAAGTTATGGGTACAAATAGAGAGGAGTACAGTCCCGACTCAGGACCTCCAGGCATTAATACTAGCAAAATTTATCTCCCCGAAGTTAATACGTACCTATCTTCCTTCGATCTCGGCTACCTTGGGTGCCTGGCTAATAGGTTTATCTAAATCTACTTTCGATATCCCTAAAATAGGGCTGGGCCTTTGCACTGGCAACTTATGACCATATCATTCCCAATCTTAATACGAAGCCTTTGCGAGATGCAGGCTTTTTCAATTACTCGGATATCCCTACTCTGCCCCCAGGGGAAGCCTTTATCCATACCTTCAAATCCGGGCTTATCTTGGTGCCACTCCCATTGCATGGGTGGAGGTGGACTCAAAGATCTGGCAAGCTTTGACGAACCCGTTGGGACTGAAAAAGGGTATATCGGGGTTCTACAGATTTTTGCAACATAATCCAGATCACTCTGTATTAACATGTGTGGAAAAATGGGAACGGGATCTGAATAGATCTTTCACTCCAGAGGAGTGGCGGTCAGCTTGGTCCTGTAATATAAGTCTTTCGAAGTGTACTAATCATTGGGACAGCGCTCTCAAAATCCTACACCGCAGTTATATTACCCCATTTAAACTTTCAAAAATTTATTCTGATGCATCCTCTTCATGTTGGAGGAATTGTGGCGGTATTGGAACTTTACTACATGTATTGTGGGACTGTAGGTGCATCCGGAGTTTTTGGAAAGATGTGTTTCACTTGATCTCTCGAGTGTCCAAAGTATACACGAATCCCAAACCCCATTTGGCGTTATTAAATCTTACGTTGAATTTATTTCCAATCCATTCCCTCACAGTGGTCGCTCACATTCTAATTGCTGCCCGATTAACTCTTACTAAAGAATGGAAATCCACTATATCTCCTTCAGTTTCAGAGGTTATTCATAGAGTACATTCTCATTACCTGTATGAAAGGTCCTATGCAATTTCAAATCATACTCTACAGATTTTTGATACTAGATGGTTTTGTTGTAATGTTCTTTTCAAGCTCTCTGACCTTTGATAATGATGGATGCTATAAGATACATATTGCTAATAGATGCACTCTGTTGGACTCTTTCTCTTTTTCTTTATGGAGTTACAGTTTTTTCGCTACCCCATCTTCTATTTTATTTCTTCTTTGTCCAAGTTCTTTTGGATTGTTTTCTCCCTGTATACTCTTTACTTCTTCTTATGTTTAATTTGTGTTTTGCTGGGCAATAACTGTGCATTGTTTAATTTTTAGTGTAGAATCAGCATAATATTTTCTATCCTTTTGTATTAAATTTGCTATGTCTAGCCGGAATAATGTTTGACATGTATATGACTGTATTTCTGTCAATGTCATAGTTGCTCATTCTTTGGTATTATCTTTGAATAAAACTTGAATAAAAACAAATTGAAAGAATATTGTTAAAAAGCTTATGTGAGATGTTGATATTTCTAATCATGATGGATAATAAAATATGTGGCCACTAGATATATAAGGAAAAGCCAGAAAAGAAGCTAAATTTGTCAAATTTAAATAATATTTTTTTTCCTATTTGTGTTTAATAGAAATGTTAGTTATCATCTTACAGTTACCATAGACAAAGCAATTCGTATAGTCCATGGCAGATATACTACATTGACAAAATGCTATGAAACACTATACAAAATTTAAGAATTTAGTATCAAAAGCAATGATCAGCTATTATTAGGTTTTTGATGTTGTTCTGCATAAAGTTAACTATGGTGGGTGAAATCATACTCAGTAACTCAATATCATAGAACAAGAGTCTACCCTTTCAGGGATTTACCTTAATGATATAATTCCAAAGTAGTCTGGTTTAGATCAAACTGGGTTAAAGATCAAGGATGTCAGAAAATGATGTCATTAGATTCCATTACTAATAAAATCAGGGGTCATTTTGAGTACAAACACAGAAAGTTTTATATATATATACACACTACTTTACACTTTATATATATATATATATATATATATATATACTCACATAGACTATACTACCAAAAGTATTGGGACACCCCTCACAATCATTGGATTCAGGTGTTCCTATCACCTCCATGGCCCACAGGTGTATAAAATCAAGCACCTAGGCATGCAGACTGCTTTTACAAACATCTGTGAAAGAATGGGTCGCTCTCAGGACCTCAGTGAATTCAAGTGTGGTACCCTGATAGGTTGCCACCTGTGCAATAAGTCCATCCGTGAAATTTCCTTGCTACTAAATTTTCCTCAGTCAACTGTTAGTGGGATTATAACAAAGTGGAAGCAACTGGGAACAACAGCAACTCAGCCAAGAAGTGGTAGGTGATGTAAAATGACAGAGTGGGGACAGCGCATGCTGAAAAAGTCACCAACTGTCTGAAGAGTCAATAGCTAAAGACCTCTAAACATCATGTGGCCTTAGCACAACAAAAGTGCATAGAGAGCTTCGTGGAAATGGTTTCCATTGCCGAGTAGCTGCATCCAAGCCTTACATCACCAAGTGCAATGCAAAGCGTTGGATGCAGTAGTGTATAGCACGCCACCACTGGACTTTAGAGCCGTGGAGCCGTGTTCTCTGGAGTGATAAATCATGCTTCTCTGCTTGGCAATCTGATTGATGTGTCTGGGTTTGGTGGTTGCTAGGAGAAAGGTACTTGCCTGACTGCATTGTGCCAAGTGTAAAGTTTGGTGGAGGGGGGATTATGGTGTGGGGTTGCTTTTCCGGAGTTGGGCTTGGCCCCTTAGTTCCAACGAAGGGAACTCTTAAGGCGTCAGCATACCAAGACATATTGGACAATTTAATGCTCCCAACTTTGTGGGAACATTTTGGGGATGACCTTTTCCTGTTCCAACATGGCTGTGCACCAGTGCACAAAGAAAGGTCCATAAAGACATGGATGAGCCAGTTTGGGGAAGAAGAACTTGACTGGTCTGCACAGAGTCCTGGCCTCAATCCGACAGAACATCTTTGGGATAAATTACAGTGGAGACTGCGAGTCAAGCCTTCTTGTCAGACATCAGTGCCTGACCTCACAAATGCAGTTCTGGAAGAATGGTCAAACATTCCCATAGACACAATCCTAAACCTTGTGGACAGCTTTCCCCGAAGAGTTTAAGCTGTTATAGCTACGAAGGGTGTGCCAACTCAACATTGAACCCTACAGACTAAGACTGGGATAGCATTAAATTTCATTGGCATGTAAAAGCTGGCGTCCCAATACATTTGGCAATATAGAGTGCTGTATATATACATATATATAAATATATATATATATATAAAACAGGGTTTGAAAAAGCCGCTCGCCTGCTTACAGATGAAGCATGGAGCGACTGCACCTGCGCTCCAAGCCTCATTGTGAAGCCGAGTTCCGGTTTACAACTTCCGGTTTCCGGCTTCTGCGGCACCACAGCCGAGGGGACAGGTGCAGGAGAGGTCCGCTCTCCTCTGCTGAGAGGAGACATCCTCTCCACCGCCGCGGGGGACAGCAAGTACTGTATGCAACATGTCCTATCACTATAATGGGAGTACAGGGGAGCTGGGATATACATTACTCAGTAATGTATATTCCAGCTCCCCTGTACTCCATTATAGTGATATGACATGTATACGGTAATGTATATCCCAGCTCCCCTGTACTCCATTATAGTGATATGACATGTATACGGTAATGTATATCCCAGCTCCCCTGTACTCCATTATAGTGATATGACATGTATACAGTAATGATTACTGTATACATGTCATATCACTATAATGGAGTACAGGGGGGCTAGGATATACATTACTGTGTAGAGTTTTATATTTTGGACTATTTTTATTCTGAAGAAAAATGTAATTTCATAAACTTTAAGGGGGCGTGGCTGGGGCAGACCTGGGCAAGGTTGGGTGGGGCAACTGGTGGAGAGTAAGTTTTGTGACTGGCTAGTAGGTCTGGACGCAAAATTTTAACCCATATATATATATATATATATATATATATATATATATATATATATATAGTTCCTTATAAGGAAAAAGGGAAAATAAGAGAAAAAAGGAACATGTTTTACCACTTAATTATTTCCACCAGAACTAGTATTACTGCATGGCCAACATTTCTATGTGCTGCATTGATTTTTGTATACTTGCTGTAGTGCAGTATCATGTGCTTTTTACCATTCATTTTCTATTTAGGTTATTTCTTCTGACATCACTTCCCTTTTAGCACACATCTGAAAAATGTTAGTGCAGATGTACTTCAAGACATTTATTAAACAAATTAGGGACACAGATGTAAATCAGTTTGTCTCTCTTTTAAAAAGGTCTGCGTAGCATTTTTCTGTGTATTTGCACTCTCCAAGCCTGTACGTCTGAGCAGCCAACTGTGACAGATTTGTACATTTCTGAGACAGTTATTACTGAAGATGAGAGAGATGTCCACTCTAAACAGACTCACAATTAAACAGTGATCAGGGTCAGGTTTCATTCTGTCACAGAGCATTGAATCAAGCTGTATCCTTGTAGTAAATCTTTGCACAGTCTGTCTCACTGCTCCTGTTTAGCTGCTGAATTTATATATGTCTCCACTGCTACCACAGAATTCATAGTGATTTTAGATATAGCAATCAAAGACAGGCATTATCTCTGGATGTACTCTCTTAAGGGTAAAAGGGAGCAAAAGACTTAGTTCTATAAAATCATCCAAACAAATAAAGTCTGCTTAGGCATACTAAAATGGCCTTTTGGCCAATGTTATCATGTGTAATATTAACATACTTTAAGTACATTTTAGCATATTTTAAAGTGATAGTAAACTCTTACATAGTCTCAATAAAGTGACTATCCTCAGGTTATACACAGTGATAAAGAGCCTCCCATATAAACTGTAGCTGTTTATCTGCAGCACTGTCTCCTCAACAACCTGATGTCAGATGGACTTTCTCACCTTTCAAGAGGCAGTGGGAGGTGGATCTGACATTGCATAGCACAGAGCAGAGAGTGCAATCTAAAACCCGAGTATTGGGAATAGACACCCTCCTCAACACAATCTTGTTGGGAAACGTGCACAGGCCTGGTACCAGAGAAAACTGTCAGAAGTGACAGATGCAGATTTCAGGGGAAAGAGAGAACAGCTAGTTTCTACACTAGGTGATATATACTGATGCAAGTACACTTTATATGAGGATATTCTTTGTTAATTTTTTATTTCAAAGCTTTACAACCACTTTAAGTGAAATTGCATTTTGCTAAATGAGGGTTATAATCTTCAAAAAGAAGGTCTGACAAGAAAGAGTTACATGCAAGTGTACTATGTACAGATTTGTACCACCTAGACGTTTGAAGTTGAAAGAAGAGTGACCTCTGTGATTTCTTATTTATGTAAAGGCAGAGGGCAGGGGAGCTTCTTCCTTGTTTTTTTTTTTGTCTTACCATCAATTTTTTACTAAAGGCAGTTTTTTCTATTAATATAATTTGGCTAGAGCGATAAGGGATCAGAATAATACTGGCATTTATTTATGTGTCCTTGTTAGGGGGATTCACTCTCTCGACTTTTATTGTTCGCCAATTTCTCTGGAAATTTAAATGAAGGTTAATCTAAAATTTTGAATTGTCACTAGAACAAGAATACGGTGGGGGATCTTTAATTTGGGACATTTGTTCCCATGACAACTGTGTAGGAGGGAATTTCCCTTACATTGGAAAAAAATTCTCTCATTTCTGTTGACTCTACGGGACAGCAAGTAAAGAGAATTCTCCCTGATGAGACACAGATGGCAAAAAACAGAAGTTTTAACCCTCCCCTACTCTATCTAAAAAGATATTTGGTGCAAATAGTGTACAGTGAAAAAGCTTTTAAGTAAAATTCCAGCTTTCAGTTCACTTTCTATCGTTCATTTGGGCCATGCTGGAAAAAAAAGGATTTTTACCCTGTAAACAAAAATATAAAAGTCAGCAGCTACAAATACTATAGCTATAATAATATATCCAAATACGCACACTTACTTGTCCCAGGATCCAGCAATGTCCTCACCCAACCTGGCTCTTTGCTGGTCTTCGGGTTCTGGTGCCATCATCTTAACTGTGGGCAGCCAACTGTTACTATATGCGGCTTCACAGCTGGCTGCCCACTGCGCATGCATAAACCGCGCTGTGCCTCATGAATGGTACTGCAGTCTTCTGGGACCTGTGATGTGTCCTAAGAGGCTGCAGGGGAAGGAGGAGGGGGCCAAACTTCTACTATGATTGCCTAGACTATTGGAGACGAAGTAGGAGCAGGTACATGTCAAAATCAGGTAACCACTACCCCCACCAAAAAAAACCCATTCCTAATATGGGAGAGGAAAGGGGAAGGAGGAGGAAAAGCAGACGTTTCCCTTTTAGATGAAGTTCCACTTTAAATGCATTAGTGTATTGCAGTGCAAATGATTTTTAATGACATCCCAATGTGCTAAGGCAGCACAGGTCCAATGCACAAGCATTGCACTGCACCACACCACACTGCACTGCACCACACATAGTAATACAATGCTTTGCTTTGCAGTGCACTGCATTGCTGAAAAAGTTGCATGCTTTGTTTTGTTTTCTTGAACATTTTGGCACATTGCCAGTCCATTCATTTGAAAGGGTTGCCTTAACACAACATACATTAATGCTTGAAAAAAATTCACCTAGACATCAATGTCCTTAAAGGGGTTCTAAAAGATTTCTCCAGTAAATGGAAAAAAATAATATAGAAAAGGTAGCATTAGCTAAGCATAATTATTGTACCGGCATAATATACTTATACAGCTATTGGGGACTGGAATTTTTCAGGCATTTCTTAACACATTACCAGATTGCCTGCACTGCCTACAGTTAGAATGTACATCAAGGCAAAATTTTAAAAATATTAAATCTTGCAAGCCAAGTACCTTTCCTCATGCTTTATCCCTTTAAACAATCTGCAGGTACAGAAAAATAACTGTTCATAAGCCAGAAATATAGTGTGCTCCTAATTTCCACTTTAAACATTACAAAAGAGTATATTTCTGATTCTGATATCCCAAGAAAATGTTGACATCCCTGCCTACTTAAATTCTCATTAAAAAAAGCCTAGAACGCAGCCTCATCCTCCCTCCTTATTCCCATAACCCCTCCTTGTGCACAGGAAGAGCTCAGTGAGTTACTGGCTCATAAGATTTCTGACAAAATCAACAGGTATATCTGTATCAACTTTTAAGAGACATAGCTTTATGCTATGTAACCACTTGCCCTCCAGAGGATTTAACCCCCTTCCTGACCAGGCCATTTTTTGTGATACTGCGCTGCGTTACTTTAGCTGAAATTACGCGGTCATGTAATGCTGCACCCAAATGAAATGTATGTCCTTTTTTCCCCACAAATGGAGCTTTCTTTTGGTGGTATTTGATCGCCTGTGCATTTTTCATTTTTTGAACTATAAACAAAAAACACCAACAAAAAAACTGTATTTTTTACTTTTTGCTGTAAAACATATTCAGTAAAAAAAAAAGTAAAACATTAAAGGTATGCCAAAATGTATTCTGCTACATGTCTTAAAAAAATTCCAATACGTGTAAATTAATTGGTTTACGTGAAAGTTATAGCATCTACAAATGGCGGTATATACTGTATACTGGAATTTAAACTTTTTTTATACTAGTATACTAGTAATGCCGGCAATCAGCGACTTTTAGCGGGACTGCGGGA